TGGTCTCCGAGGACAACGACGATGATGCTTGGGAGTTGAGTAGCAGATCAGTTTCAGGATTTTTTTGTTGTGTTTGATTTTGAGTAGTCTCTCTTTCCGGCGAGAGGGAACAAGCCTGGCCTCGACGCGGCTTCGGCTCTAATTGAGTCAATGCAAGCCAGCCTTTTTTAAAAAAAAAAATCAATATATCTCATAGGTGTCAATTCTTTAGTAAAGTTGGCACCTATATATTATTATATATTATTATAGTTGTCGGTTCTATAACCAACATCAATGATCTTGATTATTAGTATCACCTGAGTGATGCCGGTTGAAAAATTCCCATCTATATATGGTTCGAAACCGACACCAAATGTCCTTTTTTTTCTTGTAGCCGTGACATAAACAGCGAATGCGAATATATAGCACCTAAATGATCTTGATTATTAGTATCACCTGAGTGCTGCCGGTTGAAAAATTCCACATCTATATACGGTTCACAACCGACGCCAAATGTCTTTTTTTTTTCTCGTAGCCATGACATAAGCAACGAATGCGAATATATAGCGTAGTTAGCAAGTTAAAGTGCCCGGGGTGATGCAACATGTATGCATGTGCAAGTGCACGAACACGTATTACGCAGCACCACGTAAGTATAGGCCGGCTGGTAACGCTGGTATGCAGCAGGCACGCTTGTTCTGTTGTTCACACACGCGCAGTCAACACTCAACAGTACGTACGCTCGTGGCTCACATGCGTGCCATGCTAGCTTGTCAATCCTTTTTGGGCCAAAGAATGTTGCTCCCACTATAAATTCTGCTTCCCAACCAAAAGGCTAAAACTTACTGGTCTAAATTATAGCCAGAAAGTATGGTCCCTTTTTATGACTAAGATGCAGATCCTATCTTTGGTTTTCTTAACACATTTTTAAACTATTAGTAGGACTGTGTTTAGTTCACACTGAAGTTTGGAAGTTTGGTTGAAATTGGTACGATGTGATAGAAAAGTTGTGTGTGTGAAAGATTTGATGTGATGGAAAGTTGAAAGTTTGGAAAAAAAAAAACTTTAGAACTAAACAGGGCCCTTGGTATGTTCGTGTAACGCAGAAATTGTTTTACAATATCAAATAAATTTATTATTTTAGTTTATCATAACTAAAATTCAATTAGTTATATTGTGGGGTGCACGATATACGGGTACCTCATAGTGAGCCTTCGTCGTGCCAAACATAATGGGGTGAGCCGAATGCCCTAGGCACACATGTGGCTTACTTGTAATCAAATAAATTGAGATTCTTAGAATAAGATATAAATACTGAGGATCAGACATATCTTTTATAGATAGAATAAGGAGATTTAGTTGTAACCTATTAGATCACATTCCTTGTAACCCTTCTCCACATCCTATATAAGAGGGGGTGGAGGTCCCGAGATTGGGGCAACTCCCCACAACGTGGCATACACGCTGTCATGATCTCTCGGAGGCGCAACGAGCTATTCACACGCCGTACTGCGCACATCTTGATACAGATCCAATCTATATACAACTGGAGTAGCGTATTACCTCTTGCCGAGAGTCTGAATTAACTAGCATAAACATTTGTGTTAGCATCTCTTCTTAATCTTATGCACCATATAAATATTATCAATCCAGATAATCGACACCTTGTGACTCAAAATTTCTACTATGCATTTACTACGGTGCATGTTAGAAAAAACTTTTTTTTTCTTTTTGCAAATTAATGTGGATTTATTTCAGGCAGGATTCAATATGTGTCCTAACCTACATTTTTTTCTTATTCTTGAATCCCATTCTTAAAAAAATCCCCTATCATTTAGCATATCCCTATTGTCGACGAGTGATACTCGTAAACCGGATGATTAGGGTATTGGGGTACGTTGGAACGAGGATCTACATAATATGACATGAAGCAAACAGAAGAGAAGGATTATACTGGTTCAGACCCCTTATCAGGTAATAGCCCTAGTCCAGTTTATATGAGATTGATAATGGAAAACCACATAATGCAATGGAAGTAGACGAGTTCGATGATACCGACGAGATCGTAGTCAATGTATTCGACGAGATCTCCTGGCGACTTGGCTCCGCGTACTTCGGCTTCGCAGACGATGGTGGGTGTGTTGGTGATGAGATTCGATGCCTTGCACCCCTCCCCGGGGTCCCTTTTATACCGTGGATCATCTTGATCTCCAAGTAAGAATGAAAGTAGGACTTTGGAAATCACTTGACCCGTAGAGATATTTTTTATAATTTGTAACGGATTCCTACTACGCATACGGAAATAACCCGTGTACGTGAGGGTATACCATACTCGTATATTCCATAAGTCGTAGGATAGGAGGTATGTCTTATCCATAACCATGACACCTATAGCATATACTTGTTTAAATTTGTAATACCAATAATATATAATGTATTTCTAAAAATTTTAAAATATATAAACAAAGAAAATATTTTTATGACGACATATGCATTACTAATGTTAGTTCATAATGTGTTCTACACCTCTCTCCAAAAAGTTGACCTGGACACAATGAAGACAAACATATGCTGCTAGCTATGACCAGCCGCGTAGGGCACCACATCCAGTCTCCTGGCCTATCCCCCGTGGAAGTTGGATCCAGCTTCTCCATGCCATCTCCTTCCTCCCTACATCCTCCCTCCTTCCATAGAACCAGGTGGTTAAGTTGTTCGCACCTATAAGTGAGGAGTGAACGAAGAGCCACCAAGGTGATGACAGTATGTTGGTTTTCCCTCCACGTAGCTAAGAGCCACCACTACCTTCTCACCATTAGCCCACTTCGTCATTGTTGTGACCTTAGGTCACGGAAAAATTAGGGATAGACGGGAAGGTACTATTTACCCCGTCTATTATAAAAGTGAGATGAGCTCGAAGAGTAAAGTCCCATGTGTTGTATGGTATTTTGATATCACTAATCTTGTCCCCGATTATAAGATTGGGATCGGCTTATATAGCCTCCGAAGGTACATGTGTGGTTACAATATATCCTACCCCTAAGTGTACATAGGAAATTACTATAATACCTTGAAAAGCTAGAAACTCTAAGGGTATGGTTGTATACTTGTGTGGTCCTTCGAAGTACTAGGCGTCAGCTTGCAACAGTGGTTGGAGTGGTCCCTACGGTATCTTCTTGGGAATATTCCTCGCTCAACAACATAACCTTCAGGGTTCATCCGCGTTGGTCGAATGGTATTTTTCTCTTATGATAGGCTAGGATACTTCTTTCTTCATACTAGCCATCTTGCCATGTTCGCCGGTCTTTTATATTGACATGCCAAATTAGATCGAGAAGTGTTTGACGTGAATTAAAACCTCTTTGGGCAAGTAAGGAAGAGTCTTTCGGTCGAATAGGAGATAGTGTTTGCCTCCAGCTACAACACTCATGCCAATCTGGTGGTTGATGGCACCATTGGTGATCGTGCGTACAATAATCTAGCTAGACCTGGCCGCCTTGACAGGGGTATCTGACCCTTCCCTTATCTTCACGTCATGAAAAGATCGGAACAAGGGGAGCAATGCAAATGACAATGACGATGATAAACGAGATGAGTACGTAGTCACGATGACAACGGCAAAGGCAATTGCGACGACTTACGTGCGACTTCATCGCTGATGATGGTGACAATATAATTAAGCCGGCAGGGGGAGCGACCGTGAAAAAGGCAACGACGTCTCGGCCTCGTCCAAGCATGATGATGAGGATGAGCAGCCGGGCATGAAGCACGGTGACGACGGCAACTAGCATTCGACGCTACTCCTACTTTTTAAAAATTAGTTTTTCTATATCACCAACAATCACAGGTATATATAAATCAGTAACAGATGATAAACCGTTAGAGATCGATGTTGCCTAGTCTTCAGACTATCTGTAAACCAAGTCGATAGTTAGTGATGTAATTTAAACCGTTACAAATGACCTGTTTCAGTGCTAGCGTAGAATAGATAACTACCACGTACGTAGCTAGATTAATTTGTACGTACAGTACTGTAGTGCTGGCCAATTAATTTTCCATATGCATAGCTGTCCTATATACGTTTCGCCATGATCGAAATCATCTCATCAGCATGGGCGCTGGATAGGTTGCACTGTGTATTCGTTGCAGAAATCTGCTTGATGACGACTTGGTTGCATGGAGCTATGCAGCTAGCAAGGGTCCTACAGGTCAATAACTTTACCATTTTTTCCTCGTCTCGAGAAGTTCACAAAAAAAAAACGGTGACGATGCTTGGGAGGTGAGTAGCAGATCAGTTTTGGGATTTGTCTTGTGTTTGATTTTAGTAGCAGACCTTCATATCAACGACGCGACGATGATTTTGAATAGGAAATCATTTATATGTGTTTCCTTAATTTGTTCTTTCATGTTCTTGTGAAATGATTTGTGGTAAGACAGTAGCAAATCAAAGCATCGGCTTGATTTTTTTTTACCTCTCAAACGCCTCAAATTAAGATGTCGGTCGTGGAATTGGCACTAATTAATAACCTGAGGTCATCAGTGATATCTACGTGGGCTGGTTATGAAATCCGATACGTATGGGTACCTAACCGGCACCAATCCAATTTGCTGCAGGAGTGGCCATGTTAATTTTGCTCTACAATTTCTAACGAATTTAGCTACTCTATACGAATTTAAAAAGATTTCGTGGCATTTATTCTTCCATTAGACTTTCAATCCTCTAAAATCCATCCTCTTCTTTTTCTTTTTCTTTTTTATTTTGCAAAGGAGCTGGAGTAGCCCTAAAGTAAAAAACATATGATGGGCAAGCAACACGATAATTAATTGTGCGTGCCCGCTCGATCTGATGCTACCGAGCCACACCTGAACGCCGGATAAAAGTGAACCCTGTTTTGTGCAAAACGCATTTATGCACTTCGGTGGCACAGTTGCGGCGCTGCTCTCTTTCCGCTTCTACCCTCGTCACGTCCACGAAATCCCGATTCTGCCCTCGGCTAACCTCTCTTTAAAACCACCCCGCTAACCCGCGCTCTCAGTCTCACTCCCCCCCGCACCCACACTCGCGGCTACGTACGAACGTACGTACACAGTAGTAGTAGCAGTAGTGCGTACACGATGCTGCTCCTCAAGGCCGTGTACCGCGTGGTGGTGAACAACTTCCTCGCCCTCGCCGCGGCGGCCGTCGCGGCCGTGCTGCTCCGGCGCCCCGACGAGCTCGCCGCGCGGCTGCGCGCGGTGTCGTCCCCGCTGCACGCCGCCACGGCGGCGGTGCTCGCGGCGGGCGTGGCGAGGCTGGTGCGCGCGCGGCGGGCGCGGGGCGTGTACCTGGTGGAGTACGGGTGCTTCCGCCCCAGGCCGTGCTACCGGGCCCCGTTCGCGACGTGCCTGGAGCACGCCCACCTGATGCCGTACCTGGTGGACGAGGAGAGCGTCGCGTTCGCCATCCGGCTGCTGGAGCGGTCGGGGCTCGGCGACGAGACGTGCGTCCCCGACGCGTACCACTACATGCCGCCCGACCGGAGCCTCAGGGCGTCGCGCGACGAGTCGGAGCTGGTCATCTTCTCCGCCGTCGACGACGTGTTCGCCAGGTCGGCCCTGACGCCCGCCGACATCGACGTGCTCATCGTCAACTGCAGCATCTTCACCCCGACGCCCGTGTTCGCCGACATGGTCGTCAACAGGTACAAGCTCCGCGCCGAGGTGCAGAACGTGAACCTGTCCGGGATGGGGTGCAGCGCGGGGCTCGTGTCCGTCGGCCTCGCCAAGAACCTCCTGCAGGTGTCGCCCCCGGGCACCAACGTGCTCATCGTCTCCACAGAGATCCTGTCGTCGCAGTACTACGTCGGCACGGAGCGCGCCATGCTGCTGCCCAACTGCCTCTTCCGCATGGGCGCCGCCGCCATGATCCTCTCCAACTCGCCCGACCACGCGCGGTTCCGCCTCGGCCGCGTGGTGCGCACCGTCACCGCGGCGCGGGACAGCGACTACCGGTGCGTGTTCCAGGAGGAGGACGAGCAGGGCAACACGGGGATCCGCCTCTCCAAGGACCTCGCCACCACCGCCGGCCACGCGCTCAAGAGCAACATCGCCGCGTTCGGCCCGCTCGTCCTTCCGGCGTCCGAGCAGCTGCTGGTAGCCATCTCCTTCCTCAAGCGGAAGCTCAAGCAGTTGAGCGGCCACGCGGGCAAGGTGAGGCTGTACCGGCCCGACTTCCGCACGGCGTTCGAGCACTTCTGCATCCACGCGGGGGGCCGCGGGGTGATCGACGAGGTGCAGCACGGGCTCGGTCTCTCCGACGACGACGTGGAGGCGTCGCGGATGACGCTGCACCGGTTCGGGAACACGAGCTCCAGCTCGGTGCTGTACGAGCTGGCGTACCTGGAGGCCAAGGGGAGGATGAAGAGAGGGGATCGGGTGTGGATGATCTCCTTCGGCGCCGGCTTCGACTGCAACAGCGTGGCGTGGGAGTGCGTCAAGCCGGCGCCCGACGCCGACGGGCCCTGGGTCGACTGCATCCACCGCTACCCCGTCCAGCTCCCCGAAATCGCCTAAGACGTCTAAAAATGATCGATAAACGACGTACAACGACCCTACATACTATCTCGCAGCGATCATTAATTAAATTGGGATTTAATTGCATGCATGCACGTAATTAAGCGCGTACATATATATGCACGTATATATGTATATGTACCTTAATTCGGCGAAGTATATGTGGCATACATATATACTCGGTATTTTGTTACTACATGGGATATATTGTGATTCGCATAGGGGACATACAGTACACTTTCTTCTTCAAAGATATAGTAGAACGAATAATTGAGAACTTTGATACCGCAGTTAAGCTAGTATACAGACCTTGATTAGTGGTTTGAATTATATTGATAAGTGTTGTTAGAGGTTGGGAACAATGTTTGATTGTTGTATTGTGCCCTCAGATGGGCAAAAGTATTAAATTAAAGTCGTTGCAAAATGCAAATAATGTTTGGGTTCCTGTCAAAACTGGATGGCAACAAATAAAGTATTTCAACGACTGAAATTAATTTGTTGGTATGGGTATGAAAAAAAATGTTGGTATGGGATTGTCCGGATAATGTTTTGAGGCACTTTTTCTACGGAATGAATTGAATTTACTGGGACCACTAGATCTAGATCCAAGAGTAATCAGTAATCCTCTCTTCCATATGGATCGGCCACACGCACACACTTGATTACTCCGTTAATTGCATGGAGACCGTAGCTACCTACAGTTGAGCATTACTACTACATGCTATATATGCTCACAGTCACAGCAGCTGCATGCGCGTTGCAAGCTTGCAGCCAACCAGCCATCGGCTTAGCAAAGCAGCGGCAACTGTACCCAACAGGTCTTGTCTCCATCTCTCTCTGCAACTCACATTTACACCCTGTTTCATCCTTTTCTTTAACGGGTTATTACTGTGAATTATTTATTTATAAAGATAAATTATTTTTAAAAAAATAAACTTAACAAATAGTTTAAAACCAGTAATCTAAGTAATGAAGATATGTAGTAGAAGTTTTTTTTTTGAAAACTTAGTTTCTGAAGTGTGGAGCAAATAATACATTTTCAATAATCCATTTTTAATAATATGAAAAGAGTTTGATTTTTAGGAATAATTTTTTAGCTATAGTTTTCTTTCTTGTTTTAGCAATCACAAAAAGAGCATTGGAAAATTGGAAAATCAAGTGACTAAGAAAACGCCTAAAATCAATCCTAATTAAATTTAAATTGTAATTTTTCAAATTTAGTTTTCGATTATAATAGTACAAATGTAAGCACCAGACTGGATCCACATCTATGGAGAGTTGTTCATGGGCAGCACAGACTAGAAGTTACTCCCTCCTTTCCAAATATAAATATTTTTAGGTTCATTATCAAATTTTGAATTTTAAAAATGCTTTTTTTTTTGAATGGGGCAGTAGATATCAGTAGGTACATTTAAACTAGCCAATCTAGCTAGGCTTGAAAACACTGTGCCTGATGCTTAAAATAGCTCAAAATTCAACGTCCACACAACCACAAGCTGAGCAAGATGTTGTTCAACAGGTTGAACAAGTTGTTGTTGAACCAGTTGTGGAAGCACTGGCTTCACGAAGGTCCGAAAGGATATGGCGTACACCTGCGAGGTATGCGTTGTTAACTTCAGGACAACATGATATATTGTTGTTAGACAACGATGAACCTACTACCTATGAGGAAGCAATGGTGGGACCAGACTCTAAGAAATGGCTTGGAGCCATGAAATCCGAAATAGAATCCATACATGTCAATCAAGTTTGGAACTTGGTTGATCCACCTGATGGTGTAAAAGCCATTGAGTGCAAATGGGTCTTTAAGAAAAAGACAGATGTAGATGGAAATGTTCACATCTACAAGGCACGATTGGTGGCGAAAGGTTTTAGACAAATTCAAGGTGTTGATTATGATGAAACTTTCTCGCCAGTCACCATGCTACAATCTATTCGGATTGTTTTAGCGATTGCTGCCTATTTCGATTATGAGATATGGCAAATGGATGTCAAAACAGCTTTCCTTAATGGAAATCTCGATGAGGATGTGTACATGACACAACCCAAGGGATTTGTTGATCCACAATCAGCTAAAAGTATATGCAAATTGCAGAAATCCATTTATGGGTTGAAGCAAGCATCTCGGAGTTAGAATATTCGTTTTGACAAAGTAGTCAAGGCGTTGGGCTTTGTCAAAAACGAAGAAGAGCCTTGTGTATACAAGAAGATTAGTGGGAGCGCATTGGTGTTTCTAATCCTATATGTAGATGACATATTATTGATTGGGAATGATATTCCTATGCTTGAATCCGTTAAGACATCGTTGAAAAATAGTTTTTCAATGAAGGACTTAGGGGAAGCAGCATATATTCTGGGCATAAGGATCTATAGAGATAGATCAAAGAGGCTAATTGGATTAAGCCAGAGTACATACATTAACAAGGTGTTGAAGAGGTTCAACATGCAAGATTCTAAGAAAGGTTTCTTACCGATGTCACATGGCATTAATCTTGGCAAGAATCAGTGTCCTCAAACGACTAATGAGCGAAACAAGATGAGTGTGATTCCATATGCCTCGGCAATCGGATCCATTATGTATGCTATGCTATGTACACGTCCAGATGTTTCATATGCACTTAGTGCAACAAGCCGATACCAATCAGATCCAGGTGAGAGTCACTGGATAGCTATAAAGAATATCCTAAAGTACTTGAGAAGAACTAAAGATATGTTCCTAGTCTATGGAGGACAGGAAGAGCTCGTTGTAAATGGTTACACTGACGCAAGCTTCCAAACCGACAAAGATGATTTTAGATCGCAGTCTGGATTTGTGTTCTGCCTGAATGGAGGCGCTGTGAGTTGGAAGAGTCCCAAGCAAGATACAGTGGCTGATTCTACAACAGAAGCCAAATACATTGCCGCTTCTGAAGCAGCAAAGGAGACTGTTTGGATAAAGAAATTCGTTTCTCAACTAGGTGTGATGACTAGTGCCTCTAGCCCTATGGACCTCTATTGCGATAATAGTGGTGCCATTGCGCAAGCCAAGGAGCCTAGATCGCATCAAAAGTCCAAACACATTTTACGACGGTATCACCTCATTCGCGAGAAAGTGGGTAGAGGAGATGTGAAGATATGCAAAATACATACGGATTTGAATGTTGCAGATCCGTTGACAAAGCCACTCCCTCAGCCTAAGCATGAGGCACACACTAGGGCAGGGTGTAAGATACATTCATGATTGACTCTAGTGCAAGTGGGAGACTGTTAGTGATATGCCCTAGAGGCAATCATAGAGATGATTGTATCACATACTATGTTTACATATTTTTCCGACATTATTCCTTGAAATAGATAACTCCTTATTAGTTAATGAATATGTGATTCTTTCATGAGACTCTTTATGTTGTTTGTTACTATTTCTAAAGGATCCCTGATCAAATATCATGTGTGGAACAAATATGTTTATATGATCAGCACATGTATTAATTGATGATCATGTCTCATGGATCATGGTATAGAGATACCAAATTAATAATGTGGACACATGTTGGTGAACATGTTGTTGGATAGACCCAACATGAGACACTGCAAGAGCCATATGTGTTGTGTCATCAGTGATCTCATTGAGTGTTGGTGTTGAATACTTAGACATGAGATTATCATAGTTCTCAACATGTGTAGTAGCTTACTTAGGGACTACTAAACGCTACTCCGTAATTAGGTAGTTATAAAAGTAGATTTCGGGTATGCTATGAAACATGTAGTGGGATATGAATAATCAAGATGAGATTTGCCCCTCCTATGGAGAGATATCTCTGGGCCCCTCGATGTTGTAGATTATAGAAGTGCATGGCCATGCCAAAGGTGATTGAGGAGTCAATCATAAGTTATATAATCTATCAACAGATTCGAGTGAATGATTGAGCTATTAGAGGATGGCACATATCTAGCCTTGAGCTTAATCGATATCGTGAGGCAAAGGGATTCATACAAGGATACACTAGAGGTTCAGCCGATATGATCTTTATGTATGCCCGGTGGGTCAATACGTTCTGCTAGGGGCCGCTGTTGACGCGTGGACCAAAAAGGAGTTTTCGGGTTACAGCCGAGTATATATGAACCTATAGGGTCGCACGCTTAATGGGCCGGAATAAGGGGATTGGATAGAGATCCAATATGAGCTTAATTCGGATAGGGATCCGAATAGGAGTCCTACGGGCCTTGGAGACCCGAGTGATGGATCCTATATATTCGTGAGGGGTGTGACCGGCGGAGGCATTGCATCACGTGAGAAACCCTAGCCGTCACTTCCCTCCCCGAGCAAAACCCTAGCCGCGCGCGGGTGCTAGCACATCTGCGCGTGGCGTTCCGTCCCTGTACGTATGGATACCGGTAGAGGCAACGCTGGTTTGCGGTGCTAATCGGCGTGGGAGTACGGCGAGGAGAACGCACAAGGAGGAGAAGGTCGAGCCGGTGCGATCGACTACTTCCTCTACATCGACGCGCGCTACTTCACGAGAATTCCTTCGACTTCTCAGCGTCTTCTTCCGCTGCGCAGCGCGTCGAGTGGTAACGATCTATGCTCTAGTACTTGCATGGTTCCTGGTTTAAGCGATAGAAAATTTTAATTTATGCTATCGTAGCCTACGCGTATCCCAACAACACACGCTTAACGTGTCTACATACTTGTTTAAGTTATAAGTTAATTCGTGTATAAATTTTGTTAATTATACACCCTTTGTGATCGATTGTTTTGAACTATCATGTACTCCCTCCGTTTTAAGTTATAAGATGTTTTGACTTTGGTCAAAGTCAAACAATTTTAAGTTTGACTAAATTTGTAAAAAAAAATTTGTAATATTTTTAACCCAAGATAAATTTATTTTGAAAATATATTCAATTATTGATTTGATAAAGTATAAGTGAAAAGATGAGGCCCGTAATTGATTGAGAAGAGAATATTAGTGAATAAGTTGTTATATTTTAATACAAATTTTAAGTGCTAATATTTTTATATTTTAGGACAGAGAGAATACAAAGTTCACTGTAAATTATCTGAGGCAGTTACAGCTCGCATTAATGCACAGGCGCTGTCAGACTGTCGTGTTCCGTATTCAGGCTTTTGTGATCAGATCGATCAACATTCATATTCATGTACTGTAATGACCTGCCTGGAGTAAACGGAGTAGCAGCACGTACTGCTGTCGCGTTTCATTAACTAGTGTGGTACCGCACTAGGGCAATCCGCACCACCGTCGTTAGCTAGGCACCAGGCAAACCCCGGCCGCGTGCGCGGCTGTTTTTGGGCCGTCAGTCCTCTCTGTCTGTGGGCGCACAGAGTGCATTTTTGCTCGCCGTGGTAATCAACGAAACGTACGGTTAAAACTGTAATTTTGTGCTTCTTAATGTTCTTGGATTTGTCATAGATCAGAGCACAAAATGCTGCCTAAACGTCAAATATACATGTGGAGAAAAGCTATTGGTTTTATTTTCCAACTTCGTGGAATT